CGGGGTTTCACTATGTTGGCTAGCTATGTTGGCTAGGCTGGTCTCAAAATGCCGACTTCGTGACCCACCCGCCTCGGCCTCCCAAAGGGCTGGGATTACAGGTGTGAGCCACTGTACCTGGCCCATTCTTATTTTCTTTATAGCACTTACTGTTATCAGATATAGCTTGCTTATTAGCCTAACTATTGTCTCTCCATCTATCCTCACTAGTATCCATCCAATCTCCACCAGACTTAGCCTGGCACATCGTGGGCATTGTGTATGTGTTTGCTGGATGAATGAGGGGGTGGGTGGGTGAATAAATGAGTTGGTAGCTAGGTAGGTCGGTATGTGGATGAGTGAGTGAATGGATGGAAAGATGAATGAATGAATGAACGGCTAAACAGATGCGTAGGTGAGGGAATGGTTGGTATGTATTAGCTGGGTTACATGGATGGGTTGGATAAAGGAGTAGGTCGGTGGACGGATGGGATGGATGGACGGATGGGTGGGTGTGTGGATGATGGGATGGATAAGTAGGTGGGTGGAGGTACGTAGCAGGATAGAAGAGGAGAAACATGACAAGCTTCACACTTAGACTGGCCTAGATTTGAGGCTAGCTAGCGATGAGGACACAGACAAGTCTTTTAACTTGGCTGCAAGTGAGTTGTGATTACATCACTGCAGTCCAGGGTGGGTAAGTGACTGAGCCACTGTCTCAAAAATAAATTTTAAAAGATTTTTTGTGTGTGTCTAAAATAGAGCTATCATATCTATTTTTTAGAGTGGTTGTGAGGATTAAGAAAATGAAGGTCTAGAATTCCACTGGCACATAGTAGGTGTTCAAGAAAGGTGAGTATCACCACTATCAACTGCTACATCTGGTGGGAGGACTTGGGCCCCTGGCGGTGGCAGCAGTGGGTGGGGAGCAGTGGGCCAGGCTGGTGCTTACCCTGCTGTTGCACACTGTCCTTTCCTGTTGGCCATGCTGTCCTGTCAGGGTCATATAGAGGAACCCCTCTCTGGGCTAATGAAGCAGTATAGTCCTTCTCAAGGATTGACTTGATGGACCTGTTGTTGAGAGGAAATAAAGATGAAGTCAGTGTCTCTCCCAGTAGTGGGGTGTATGCACCCAACCCTCAGGCCCACTGATAGCGACTGAGCTCAGGGTATACTCTCCATTCATTCATCATTCATTCATTCAGTCTTTCATCCATCCATCCAACAGAATACTGACCTGATATCACACTTCTCTTCTCCCTGTGTGGCACCCAGCTAAATGCCATCTACTACCTCAGAGTCAAGCAAGCCCATTCTTTTGATGCCATTTCACAGGATGAACTTAGTTTGCTTGCCATTGGAACTCTGTTCGCAAAATTTTCTTTTTTTTTTTGAGACAGGGTCATGCTGTGTTGCCCAGGTTGGTCTCAAACTCCTGAGCTCAAGCGATCCGCCCACCTCAGCCTCCCGAAGTGCTGGGATTACAGGCATAAGCCGCTGCACCCATCCTGTTCTCAGAATTTTCATTTTGGCTTAAACTTTGGTGCAATTGGTTTGCCCCTACTGTTTACCATCAGATTTGTCAGTCCAACTGACAGAACATAAATTATGCACAATTCAGATGTTGAAGACTTTTTGAATGTCTTATCTGTGGATGAGTGAGCCGACTTAACCTGTGTACCTCAGTTTCCTCAGCTGTCAAGATGGGGTAGTATCTATCCATCCATCCATTTATCTACGTATCTGTATATCTATATATACTGGTCTACCTACCTGTTATTAAGTTTAGCCTAAAGCTGCCTCCTTACATACTTTAGGTTTGGCCTAAAGGTTTTCCCATACATAGTGAACCGTGAATTAACTGGACTCCTACACAAACAGACTGCAACCTACTCATGTGTCAATCACTGAATTTCAGCCAATCGAAGGCAGCCAACTGTTTAAACCATGTTCAAATAAAGCAAATGCTGAGCTGCAACCAGTCTGGCT